GAGAGAGAGAGAGAGAGAGAGAGAGAGAGAGAGAGAGAGAGAGAGAGAGAGAGAGAGATAGGTGTGTGTGCGTGAGCGTGCTCGCGTTCTGGGGCGCGATGAATCATGGAGGCTGCGGTTACCGCCGGCGCGTGTTACTCTCACAACAACAAGCTCTGATCATTATCAGGTCGTTTACTAGCTGACGTGCACGCGTGCATCCACATTCAATGTTCACGCACGCACGCACGCACGCACGCACGCACGCACGCGCATACACACGCACGCACGCACGTACACACTGGTTCGCAGTTCGCACGCATGCATTGCACTCACACACATGCAAACACGCGCCTGACTACCTGCCTCCCTGCCTGATCCCGCCCGCCCGCTCGCCCTAGCCTGCCTGCCTGGTGGATCTTCCCTATACTGGGTGTATACTACCAACGGTCTTGCCACAGCAGCGGGAGCAAGTATGTAGAACTAGTGGAACTACGCGAGCCGCCAAGCTGTAAGCTAAAGACCAGCTGCGGGTCTGAAGCCACGCGAATCACGCTTAAACAGCCGACACATCTGTTCACAGGCAGCTGCGGAGCTGCTGCGGTAGGACGGGAGGAGGGGAGAGGGAGAAGACGGAGGAGAAGGATGTGGTGGTGGAGGAGGAGGAGGAGGAGGAGGAGGAGGATGTGGTGGTGGAGGAGGAGGAGGATGTGGTAGTGGAGGAGGTGGAGGAGGAGGAGGATGTGGTAGTGGAGGAGGTGGAGGAGGAGGAGGATGTGGTAGTGGAAGAGGAGGAGGAGGAGGAGGTTGTGGTGGAGGAGGAAGTGGAGGAGGAGGAGGAAGATGTGGTGGTGGAGGAGGTGGAGGAAGAGGAGGAGGAGGATGTGGTGGTGGAGATGAAAGAGGAGGAGGAGGTGGTGGAGGATGTTGGAGATGACGATGATTATGATGAGTATTAGGAGGAGAAAGAGAGGGAGAAGGAGAAGGGGGATGAGAAGGAGGAAGAGGAAAAGGAAGAGAAGTAAAAGGATGAGGAAGTGAAGCCGTAAGCTGGCTTCCCCTGCGCGCACGTGCCGTCCTCCTGCTTCCACTCGCCACCACGGTAACAGTATCGCCGCCTCTTCGTCCGGGAAGACGAGTTTGGTTTTCCGCAAGTGTGAGTCAGCGTCTGCAATAGCATCCTGTCTCTCAGCTTCCGGGAATCGCCATGGTAACTACAGAGGGTACTCAAGCTGCCTTTTCATCCCCCGGAATTCCCATATAGTATTATCATTTATCATGTGAGCGTGCATGCTAAATAGTAGTCATTTCTGACGTGGCGAACACGATACTCGAAAGTAAAAAAGCGGCAAAAAAAACAAAAACTACGAAAGTCGAAACAACAACGCTGCAAGTGCGTAAACAAGAATGC